TCTACAAAGAAACTATTAGAGCTAATAAATGAATTCAGCAAAGTGGCAGGATATAAAATCAACACGCATAAATCAAAGGCATTCCTGTATATCAGCGACAAATCCTCTGAAATGGAAATGAGGACAACCACTCCATTCACAATATCTTCAAAAAAAAATAAAATACTTGGGAATCAACCTAACAAAAGAGGTGAAAGACTTATACAATGAAAACTATAGAATCCTAAAGAGAGAACTAGAAGAAGATCTTAGAAGATGGAAAAATATACCCTGTTCATGGATAGGCAGAACTAACATCATCAAAATGGCGATATAACCAAAAGTTCTCTACAGGTTTAATGCAATGCCAATCAAAATCCCAACGGCATTTCTTGTAGAAATAGAGAAAGCAATCATGAAATTCATATGGAAAAATAAAAGACCCAGAATAGCAAAAACAATGCTAAGCAGGAAGTGTGAATCAGGCGGTATAGCGATACCAGACTTCAAACTATACTACAGAGCAATAGTAACAAAAACACCATGGTACTGGTACCAAAACAGGCGGGTGGACCAATGGTACAGAATAGAGGACACAGAAACCAATCCACAAAACTACAACTATCTTATATTTGATAAAGGGGCTAAAAGCATGCAATGGAGAAAGGATAACATCTTCAACAAATGGTGCTGGGAAAATTGGAAATCCATATGCAACAAAATGAAACTGAATCCCTTTCTCTCGCCATGCACAAAAGTGAATTCAAAATGGATCAAGGAGCTTGATATCAAATCAGAGACACACCGTCTGATAGAAGAAAAAGTTGGCTACGATCTACATATTGTGGGGTCGGGCTCCAAATTCCTCAATAGGACACCCATAGGACAAAAGTTAATAACTAGAATCAACAAATGGGACTTACTCAAACTAAAAAGTTTTTTTCTCAGCAAAAGAAACAATAAGAGAGGTAAATAGGGAGCCTACCTCCTGGGAACAAATCTTTACTCCTCACACTTCAGATAGAGCCCTAATATCCAGAGTATACAAAGAACTCAAAAAATTAGACAATAAGAGAACAAACAACCCAATCAACAAATGGACCAAGGACCTGAACAGACACTTCTCAGAGGAGGACATACAGTCAATCAACAAGTACATGAAAAAATGCTCACCATCTCTAGCAGTCAGAGAAATGCAAATCAAAACCACCCTAATATACCATCTCACTCCAGTAAGATTGGCAGCCATTATGAAGTCAAACAACAAGCGCTGGCAAGGATGTGGGGAAAAGGGTACACTTGTACATTGCTAGTGGGAATGCAAATTGGTGCAGCCAATTTGGAAAGCAGTATGGAGATTTCTTGGAAAGCTGGGAATGGAGCCGCCATTTGACCCAGCTATTCCCCTTCTTGGTCTATTCCCTAAAGACCTAAAAAGAGCATGCTACAGGGACACTGCTACATCGATGTTCATAGCAGCACAATTCACAATAGCTAGACTGTGGAACCAACCTAGATGCCCTTCAATGGATGAATGGATAAAAAAAATGTGGCATTTATACACAATGGAGTATTACTCTGCATTAAAAAATGACAAAATCATAGAATTTGCAGGGAAATGGATGGCATTAGAGCAGATTATGCTAAGTGAAGCTAGCCAATCCCTAAAAAACAAATGCCAAATGTCTTCTTTGATATAAGGAGAGTAACTAAGAACAGAGTAGGGTCGAAGAGCATGAGAAGAAGATTAACATTAAACAGGGATGAGAGGTGGGAGGGAAAGGGAGAGAGAAGGGAAATTGCTTGGAAATGGAAGGAGACCCTCAGGGTTATACAAAAGTACATACAAGAGGTAGTGAGGGGAAAGGGAAAAATACTACAAGGGGGACAAATGAATGACAGTAGAGGGGGTAGAGAGAGAAGAGGGGAGGGGAGGGGAGGGGAGGGGGGATAGTAGAGGATAGGAAAGGCAGCAGAACACAACAGACACTAATATGGCAATATGTAAATCAATGGATGTGTAACTGATGTGATTCTGCAATCTGTATATGGGGTAAAAATGGGAGTTCATAACCCATGTGAATCAAAGTGTGAAATATGATATATCAAGAACTATGTAATGTTTTGAACAACCAACAATAAAAATTTTAAAAAAAAACACACAAGAATTCTCAATATGAATGTTCCAGGTAACAGTGTTTTGAAATGTATGAAGCCCAATGGACGTAAATGAAAGGAATGAAAGATAAATCAGTACTTATTGCTAGAGTTTTCAACAATTCTTTTTTAATAATTAGTGGGGAAAAAAGAAAAAAAAATCAGTAAAGATAAAGAAGACGTAAAGGAAAGAATACTAAGACCCAACCTACTTGATTGACATTTACAGAACAATCACTGCAAGACAAAATCATTTTCCAGTGCACTTGGAACATTGACCATCTTAAACCTTATGCTAAGCCATAAAGTATGTCCCAATAAATTTAAAAGGATTGAAATTTCATAATGTGTTCCTTGATACAAAAAGAATTTAACTAGAAATCAATGTTTAACATCTGGAATTATAGTAGAATTACAGGATAAAAGATTAACATTAAAAAGTCACTCATTTCTCTAGATACTAAAAGATGAGCAATTGGAATCTGAAATTAAAAAATACAATGCCAGTGACAAAGCATCAAAAAATCACTTTTGTATGAATCTAACAAAGAATATAACTGATCTATCTTGAAAAATCTGTAGAACTCTGATGTAAACAATTAAAGACTTCTCGTAGTAGAGAGACTTATTATTGTAAAGATGTCAATTCTTCCCAACTTTCCCCAGAGATTCTAATAATCAAAATTAAAATCCCCAAAAGCTATTTTGTAGAAGTCGACAAGCAGATGCTAGATTGGAAAGTCAAAAGACCCAGAATAGCCAAGACAGTTCTGAAGAATACGAAAGCTTTGAAACTTACTATAGAGCCATAGTAATCAAGAGAGCATGGTCTGGCTAAAAAGGTCACATATTAAAGAAACATAATATAAACATCAGAAGTAGGCACACACAGATGTTATCAAATGACTGTTGACAAAGAAAAAAAGGCAATTATAGAGAGGAAAGCTCATCTTTTCAAAAATGGTGATAGAACAATTCAACATCCACATGCAACATAAAATACACATTGTATATTTTAATAAGCACAATAATTCAAAATGGATCCTAATCCCAAATATAAAACATAACGCTATAAAACTTTTAACAAAATAAGAGAAAATCTAGGTGACCCTAGGTTTTGTGGTTATTTTTTAGATAAACACAGAAGCATAATTCATGATAGACAAAACTTATCAGTATTACTCATTAAAATGAAAATTTCTCTGTGAATGACAATGTTAAGAGAATTAAAAGGTCAGTCACATACTTGAAAAAAATATTTGCAAAACATGCATCTAATAAAGGACTTGTAACCAAAACAAAGAATTCATAAAACTCAATGCTAAGGAAACAAATGATCCAATTTAAAAATGGAAAAAAGATTTGAACAGATTCTTCATGAAAGAAGATATATACAGATGGCAAATAAGCACAAAAAGCTAAATATCATATGTCTTTGAGAGAATTACATATTAAAGCAACAATGAGCTACTACCACCTACCTATTAGAGAGGCTAAAAAAACTGACACTACCACCAGTAGTCAGGATGTAGAGCACGGGTAGCCTCTATTCACTGCCTGTATGAATGTAAAAGGATGCCCCCACTTTGGAAGACTGTTTAGCAGTTTTTTTTCAAAGTTAAGTATACTTTTAATAAACCATCCAGCAATCATGATCCTATTTCCCCAACTTATTTGAAAACATATGTCCACACAAACACTTTCACATGAATGTTTATGGCAGCTTTAATCATATTTGATTAAAAAAAAGTAGGCACAATATTCTTCAAAAAGCAACTGGGTGGGTAGACCCTGGTACATAACAACAATGGAATACTGTTCAACCAAAAGAAGGAAGAAGAAGGGAGAAGAAGAAGGAGAAGAGAAGGAGGAGGAGGAGGAAGAGGAGGAGGAAGGAGGAGGAGGAGGAAGAGGAGGAGGACGAGGAAGAGGAGGAGGAAGAGGAGGAGGAGGAGGAGGAGGAGGAGGAAGAGGAGGAGTCAAGCCATAAAAAGACATTGTGGAATTTAAAACTCATATTGCTAAGTGAAAGAACCAACTCTGAAAAGGCTACAGGATATATGATTCCAACATTCAAAATAGACAAAACTACAAGAAACAGTAAAAGGACAAAGGGTTTGAGGTGGGAACAGAGAAATGAGCAGATGGAGCAAAAAAGATTTGAAGATGTATATAATACTCTAATGACACAGGTAAACAATACATTTAACAAAACTCACAGAATTGTTCACACAGAAAGTGAATACAAAATTAAACTATGTATTTTAATTAATAATAATGTATCAGTTCATTAATTGTAAAAAAAATGCAATGTGCTAAATAATAAGAGAATCCATGAGCAAAACAGAGAGGAGGAACCCAACTCCTCTTTGTATGCTCTGCTCAGTTTTCCATAAGTCCCAAATTATTCTAATATATATATATATATATATATATATATATATATATATATATATATAATTTAATACATACATGCCGCAGTCTGGCTGGGCACAAATCACGAGCCACTGAAGCAGGAACAAACTTTATTTTTAAACTGCAGGAAAACACTTCACACAGCTCCCGGGGAATCCTCCCGAACGCGCCAGGAGGCTTGTCCAGGAACCCCCAGCCGGAAATATCTCTCCCGGAAATCCCTCCTCCTGCACTTCCCCAACCAATGGGAACTCTCGGGGAATCCCCGGAAATCCCCATGAGAACTCCAAAATAGTGTGAGAACTCAAAAGTTGCGGCAGAGGCGGATAGTAATGCCTCGCCTGTCAATCAATACTGTTGGCAAAATGCCAGGGGCCATACAGACTCGGCCGTGGCTCTCAGCACATACATATATGTATGTATTAAATTCTTTAAACATTAAAGAATTAAACACCACTTCAAAAACTCAGGCAAAAAAGAAATAAGGGAAATTATAAAATATTCTGGACTGACTGAAAATAAAGATGGAATTTCAAAACTTGTAAGATTCAACTAAAGCAGCACTTAAAAGTTTATAGTTTAAAACCCTTATTCAAGGGAGAAAAACATGTCTAAAATCAATTATCTGAACTTATGTCATAAAAAAGTAGCAGGGCAAATTAAATACATGATAGGTAGAAAGAATAATAAAATATAAGCAAAAATCAATGAAATTAATGTGTTTTTTTTCAAAAAATGAAACTAGACATAGATGAAGCAAGAATTTAAAAGGAGACATCACTAGAAATCTTATAGAATCAAATGGAAAATAAGAAAATATGTAATAATTTTTTCCAGTTTTTGAGTGTGGTGAATAGCCAACCAAATTTACTATCTTAAACATTTCTAAGTGTAAATCTCAATAGAATTAAATATAATCATATTGTCATGCAAACTTTGCCACTATTATGCATCTCCATTGGTATATTCACTTTGCGAAACTGACATTCTATACCCTTTCAGCAATAACTCCTGATTTTCTTCTTCATGAAGCCTATGACAAACACCATTCTACTTTCTGTTACTATGATTTTGACTGAGTAACTAATATATGTAGAATCCCACAAGATTTGTCTTCTTCTGGTTGCTTATTTTATTTATGGTAATGTCTAATGTTGTATAACATACATTAGGATTTTGATCCTTTTCAAGACTGAATAATTTTCTATTGTATGTTTATGCCACATTTTGCCTATCCATTCATCTACTGATTAATACTAAGATCACCTCCATGTTTTTGTTGTTGTAAATAATGGTGCTATAAACATGGGTACACAAGTTTCTTTTTAACATTTTGCCTTCACTTCGGGGGGTGGGGGGAATGTATCCATACATGGAATTGCTGGATTATGTGATTTCTGTTTTCATTTTCAAAAAGAACTCTCATAATGTTTTCCACAGCATCTGTATCATTTTACATTCCCACCAACAGTACCCCAGACTCTGGTTTTTCTAAATCTTTGTCAATACTTGTTACTTTGTTTTGTTTTGTTTTGTTTCTTCATCACAGTCATCCCAGCCATACTAACCTGTGTGAGGTAAGACCTTATTGATTTGCATTTCCCTAATGATTAGTGATGTGAAACATCTCTTCATACTTCATATACTATTTGTATATTTTCTTTGGAGAAATGTCTGTTCAAGTACTTTAACCAATTTTATTTAAGGTTGTTTGTTTTCTTGATGATGAGTTTTATGGGTTCTCACCTTCTATCCTGTTTTATGCTACTATAAATGGAACAGATTCTTGTAATTTTTCTTTTCAGGTTGCTCAGTGTAAGTGTGTAGAAATGCAACTGATTTGGTGTGTTGACTTTGTATCCTACTTTGCTGGGTTTATTAATTCCAACAGTTGTGTGTATGTGTGTGTAATCTTAAGGTTTTCTATGTACAAGATATCATCTGTGAACAGAGATAACTTTACTTCTTCTTTTCTGATTTGGATCCCTGTTATTTCTTTTTCTTGCCCAATTACTCTGGTTAGCAATTATATTACTCTGTTGAATAGAAGTGGGCAGAGATGAGTTCCTTGTCTTGCACCTCATCTTAGAGGAAAAGCATTCAGCCTTTTCATCATTAAGATATTCAGTATGGTTTTTATTATGTAATTTAATAAAATAGTATTTTTTTACTATTCCCCAAGAATGGAGTGGTTTTTTTCTTTCATGAAAGGGCTTTGAATTTTGTTAAATGTTCTTTCTATATTAATTCAGATGATATTACAAATAATTTTATACCAATAAATTTATCAAAAGAGGCAGAATGAGAAAATTCCTTGAAAGACTCAAAAGTTTCATTAAAAAGAAACATATTTTGAATAGTCCTCTATCTATTAAAGAAATTAAATGTAGAAATAACTTCCTCACCCCCACCCTATCCTAAGCCAGGAAAAGTTCACTGGAACTTCTGTCAAACACTCCAATGTATTTTATGTCGTTATGTTTCCCTTGATAGCAAAATTAGAACCCGAATATGCAAAAAATAAATTATCCTGTTAGTTACAGGCCTAACCTTGAACAAGTTGCTTTATGTCTCTGGTTTTCACGTTTCTCACTCCCAAACATTTGGTAAAATATTCTTACTTAGATTCTGACACTGGAAAGAAGAGCCCGGAGGAGAGACCAGCATCTGCATCACCTCCTGCCCAGCACTGCAGGGGCTATACCACCTGCTCCTTTCCGAGCAGTGGCAGGTGAGTGTGAATTTACTGGAGTTCTTTTCTTCTCGGTTTTCTCTTCACAAAATATGTTAAATTGCAAGTTATTGGAGAGCAAGAGGGATGCCAGCTGGAAACAGAGGCATGCACAGAGGAGAGAAAGTGGCCCTAGACAATGTCAGTTACATATGAATTTCCAGTTATTCATTCATATGTACCCCTCGCTCTCCTTCCCTCTTTCTCTCTCGCCCCTATTGTTTATAAATTTGCTCTAGATCTGATGGCTGTGGCAAAATACATTTAGAACTGCTAAAAATGATGATCTTTAAGGCTCCCTTCTTTCCCTAAATACTTATTGAGAGCCAGCTATGTGCCAGAGATCAAATTAAGCAACATCAAACGTGGTCTACGTCCTCATAAAACACTGGTCTGTGCTCCAAGATATAGCAGGATGGATTTGAAAAGGACAACTCTTCCTGAGTGGCCCTGGACACTAGTTATCATTATTCTTATCTTACAGCTGTGGTAGCTGAGATTCAGAGAATGAATCCATTGCTGAAGCTCCTAAAGCCAGAAGGTAGAACAGCAGGCATTTGAGCCTAGATCCGTCCCACCCTCATGAGCTCATGAGCTCATGGTATTTTCACACTGCCACCATACTTCATTAAGAAAGAGCTTACTTAATCCTCATTATATTGTATATCTCAATAGTTGAGTAATTGGTCTATGCTATATATGACTGGTGATGTTGTATTATATTCACATCTGGCTTTGTTTCTGAACAACTAATTTTGCACTCAAAGTTTTAAAGATTTGAGATTTTGCCAGATTTTCTGAATTAAATTACAAAAGTCCTTCATATTCTTCATTCCTCGGTTGATGAAGCAGAATATTATCATACTGACTTTAGCCGGAAACTTGATGAGTGGCTGCACCTGCCTACATTTTAACATCGGCTATAAGGGCAGTGGGTGTATTTGAGGATGGGGTAGTAGAAATTAGGAATGTACCTGGGTTATTAAAATCAAGCATCCTCACTACAAAGGGAATCTTCAACTGAACTTTTTCTGTCAGGTCATGAGGTTGATAGACATATTTTTTTAAAAAGATGACATATCCTTTCTTGCTCGTCATTCTGGTAAATATCACATTAGCACACATTTTTCAGCAGGTGTTCTACACACAGAGGTAATAGAGTATAAAAAATCAAGTCCAAATTCTTGACTTAGAATCACAAATCGCAAGCCAGTCTCAGGCCACATTGTCTTTCCTCACTTTCTGCCACCACACCCTTCCTCTACCCGCCTATGTTTCAGCCATAACAGAAACAAACCATTCTCCATATGCTTCTCTGAGCCTCCACATATTCTTCAGGCTGCCCCTAGAAGAGACACACCCATCTCTACCTTTTGGCAGCCTACAACAACTCAAACGACCTTCCCCATGAGATTCCACTTCCCTGGGAGGAGATCTCTCCTTCCACTCCAGTCTCAGTGTCCCTTTCATTGTCTGTCCCCCTCAGGGGTCAGGGCATGGAAGAAAATGCCCAGATGCTGTTCTGTCTTCTCAGATTCCTGGTACCTAGCTCACTGCTGACACAGGAAGACATGGAGAAACACTGAATCCTTGAATTACTGCATATAGCCAGGAAACTGAGCTGGTCAACAAAGCTCCACCATATTGTGTATCAGGAGGACCGGAACAAGATCGCCTCCCATTCTCAATTTTTATCAAGGTCACTCTTTCATGGGTCACATGTGTTCTGTATTCTAATTTACCTTAAAAGTATTGATGTGCTTCTTAATTTGGGTTTCCTAATTTAAAGAGACACCCTCAAGGTGTTTTTTTCATTATTTTTTAAATTCCTTGTAATCATTTTTAATACCCATCAGAAGCTTGAAATTGAAATGTTATGAGTAGACTGCCCTGATTTTTCTGTACTACATTTGCACAATGGACAGTGCCCTCAGATCTACACTGCAGTTGTACTGATCATTCTCAAGTAATATTTTTGCAGTATTATTAAGTCAATAACATGGAAAGAATATACCTAAAAAAATAAAAGCTTGGAAATATTTTTTAATATACCTAAGACAAATACATTTTTCTAACTAAATAAAGTCACTCCTGATTTCTGTTTAGAATTACACAAAGTGGCCAGCTGAGGAGTGTGGGAAGCCATCCGTGAATTACATGAGGATCTTCTCTCAGGTTGGTAGCCAGGGAGATTTAGGTTTGGCTTTGCGAACTATCCGTGGCTCTCCCAGGGCAATAGATTGCCCAATGCACATGACCTTTATCTCTGCTCTGCTAGGAAGATACCTCACAATAGCTCCGAAAATGGGTGTAACCCTCTGGGAACTGAACAGCCCACCTTTAACCTTTTTTGGTGAAGAATATTCTATGGAAGGCCTTTGATGTTTCCCGATATAAATAAAGCAGGCACCAATTGGCTTGCCTGTCCTGCCCCTGCTTTTGAAACTACTTTCTGTGTCCTGAGGTTTTTTTTTTTTTTTTTTTTTTTTTTGGTGTTCTATTTTTCCTAGCTTTTATTTCTCAGCCAGCCCATTCCACCCAGGGGAACCCCATTTCCACCGCCCACGCAGGATATGCGAGCAAGAGGAGGAGAGGAGCAAGGCTTTGCCTTCCTTTCTCTGACCCTCTGCCACAGTGAGGCCTCCACCACCTAGCTGGAGCTGAAAAATGTCCTCTGATTTTCACACACCTGCTTTGTCTCTGCCTTGAAATGATATCCTAATGTTCTGGTGCTGTACAAACATGGGGCCTTCTGCAAACTACAGTCCTATACTCCTCCCTGAGACAGCTCCATTCCCTATTTCTCTCTAACTTCCCAAGCATTGCTAATGAAATTATCTTACTGAAGGGGAAAAGAGGAGGGGCACCCTTAAAAGGGCGACCTATCACTTGACAGAAATATACAAAATAGGAGAGAAGAGCTATAGCCCTTAAGATCTGGGGCAGTGACCTTTGCCTTTAGATGCTGGTATATGAGCACCCAGTATTGTTAGTGTCTCCCCTGTATGTTCCACTATCCCTACAGTATCTTGAGGGTTCCATAGTATAGGCTGCCATGTAGCAACTGTGATGTCTGTGCCTCAGGCATCTCTCTGCCACAGTGGGTCACAGCTCAACATGAGGGCTCAATAAAATGGGAGGGCTTTGAGGGTATCCCCACTATGCTCCAGCATAGTGTCTGAGGTAATAGTGGTCTAAGTTTCCATGGGGTGTACCACTAGAAATGCCAACTACCCTGCTTGGATGGGAGAAGTGGATGCTTAAGTGTCCAAATGCTGCAAAACCTAACTAAATGGAAGCTCCATCTCCAACATACTTCCCACCCGAGAGAGCCATTTAAATAGGATAATGCACATATAAAAGAAGAAATTGGCATCTTTCTGCCATTGCATTCAAATTATTTTCTAAGGACAATTCATCACACCCCAGATTTTTTTATCTATCATTATTAAGTTTTCCCCCCAAATCTACATTTCTCTTTAGAAAATTCTAAGTGGCATATGAAGAAAAAAAAAACAATGGAATGGAAATAGTCCCTAAATTTGAAATGAGGGGATTGTGCTCTGATCCCAGAGCTGACACTCGTAGATCATGGGACCCTGGGCCAGAAACATGCACTCTGTGCAAAGAGCCTCTTGTAAAACTGAGGAGCTGGAACAGACAATCTCAAAGGCCCCACCAGCTCTCAACTCATGTCTATTCTGGTTTTGTTCTTATGCCTCTTCCCACTCACTCCACACACCTGTCTCTCATTTTGTCCTAATTATGGTATAGCAGAGGCCCCCAGCATGATTTGGATTCCACATTACAGCGTGGGCATTCCTGGTGGAAACTAGAAAGGGTGTCATCTCCAATATAACCCGAGCTGCACCTTTGGACAATGACAACTCCCAAAGACACCAGCAGCACAGAACCTGAGCCAAAAAGGAAAAAGAGAGGTTAAGTGAGGCATGGTGGCTTGGAGAAATACACCTCAGAGAACATGCATGACAGCCCGTGGAACTCTGAGAACTGCTGAGGAGAAATTTAAGGAAGAATGGAATTCCTGCACAAAGTGCCCAGTACGCTGCTTATCTATTGCTGCACAACAAACCATTCCAAACCCAGTGGCTTAAAACAGCTCGTTGGCTTACTATTTGGACTGAGAACAGCTGGGTTTTTCTACTGCTGGCCTCTCATAGACTCAGTCCTGCATCTGTGGTGAGCTGAGTGGTTCTACTTCTGGCTGTCAGCAGGGTCCTGGTGTCCAGTCCAAGCTTCTTTACACAGGAGCAGCAGCATGAGTCCCCAGAGCAGCAAAAGACAAGCCCCCACATGCAGGCGGGTTTCAAGACTCTGCCTGAGACATGTGTGCTGATGCCCTCTTGGCTAAAGCAAGTCACCTGGCCAGGCTAGATTCAAGGGCCAAGGACATGGGTGCTACCCTCTCAGTACGAGGATTTTTATTGTCAGTGTATGAACTGAAGGGTGGAAAAGAGTTGGGGCTAATTTTGCAACTTACCTTACAGAGAAACAGAGCTGAGCTTGTTGGTATGACTTTACTTTTTATTCCCAGGTTTGAAGTGCCACACAAACAGGTGAAATTAGTCCTGTACTTTACATAGCAGCATATTTTATAGTAAAATGTTAATAAGTTGATGAGTCCTCAAAAATAATTGGAACTTCCTTGAGCAAACTGTCAGTTTTATTTAAGGTTTAAGACTCTATGCAAAGTTACACATGGAAATGCAAATTTAAATTCTTCATAGACGGTTTGCCTGTGTGTGTATGTGTGTGTGTGTGTGTGCTTGTGTACACACACATACACCAGGAATTGAACCCAGGAGGGCTTAACCACTGAGCAACATCCCCAGCCCTTTCCACTTTATTATTTTGAGACAGTGTCTCTCTAAGTTTCACAGGGCCTCACTAAGTTGCTGAGGCTGGCTTTAAACTTGTGATCCTTCTGCCTCAGCCTCCCAAGTTGCTGGGTTTATATCTTTTATAAAATCCCAGCCCTTCTAAAATCTAACCCTGTGAGATCTTTCTTGTGCATTCAGGCAGGTCACACCTTTATGTAATGCCATCTTTAAGAGATTCATGAGCACTCACAGTAGAATTTAGAACTCTGGAATATATACCAATTTTCCCTAAATCCAATCTGTGTTTAGCAATTAAACTGAGTGTCATACCAAATCCTTTTAACTGTCACTCATTGAACTTACATATAAACCATCTGGGTACTGGGCACCATGCTAAGGGCTGTGACTATCACAGGAACAGAAGGAAGAAGGTGGGCAGGAGCTGAGCCTACCTTCTTGTATCTTATGGTTCATGGGACATATACCAGTGACTTCTTAAAGAAATACAGTTCAAGAATTTCAATTCATTTTCAAAATTAAAGTGAATTTTGCATTTTTAAATATTCACCCTTAGATCACTTTTAATTTTCATAAAGCCTCTCTCCTCTGAAGAAGGTTTAAAAGTAACTGACTTTCTTCTCTTCATCATGAAATTGTCACCAAGTTATTTTCAGTTCTGACTGTCCTGAAGCTTCTTCTGAGGATATTAATCTCTCTGGGCAGTTGAAATAAATTCCAAGTAAATTTCCTCGTACACAGAACCAGGCTTTTACTTAGACACCTCTTCAAAGGAAGCTGCTCCACTGAGCCAGGCTGGGGCAGGGTGAGAGCAGACAACATGGGCCACTGTCATCACCCCTAACACTGTCCTTTAAAAATGCACAAAATCTGGTCCTCAACAAATCTGAAAGGAGCAAGGTCCACTCTTGACACAGAACCACCTGTCCTTTCAAGTGCTCTTGGTATTTTTCTATTTTAGCTGCATAAGTTGTCCAGGGCTTGTTGTTTTCATGTTTTTAATAACTATTTGCAATAATTACCTTCTTATAGAGTTTTCATTTGAACATCAACGTAGATGCCCAGAGTAAGACAGAGTTTTAGCTAGTTTGGCTAATCAGTTTAACATTCCTTCCTTAGATCCTCACAGTAAAGAAAAATAATGAATCCTAGCAGTTTGGCTCCAAAGTCTATGTGCCTCGTCAATGCACCTCACAGCCTCACCTGGTATCCCCTGTGAGTGTGAACAGAAGAATGGGTAGTGTGTCTCTGGTGCTGAGCAGAGAGGATGCTCTATCTGAAAGAGGGAAAAGTAATCATATCAATATCACCACAGATTGAGAGCTTTACACATGGCTCCATGTATACCTTCATTCACTTTGGTTTTTCTGTATAGAGGAGGACTTTAGGTGATACACCAAAGAACTTTTTTCAGTTTTAATGCATGTGGCAGATACTGTATATTGACTTAACTGCTATGTCAGTCAATACTGCCTACAACATAAAGGCTGGAAATGCAAATCACCTTCCCTACCTTCCCTGAAGCAGCCATGTGACCTAAGTGTCTTTCAAAAAGATACATCCTCAAACATTTCAGCAGGGGAACAAGCACTGTGATTTGGCAGGTAGAGTGGGTGTTTGGATTACAAGTGTAGAATGGTGACAGCCCCTCTGGGCCACTGCAGTGAGGTGCTACAGCTGTTGCTGAGGTTTCCAGGACTTCTCCTGGCCTATGCTTTGTGTGCTTCCTAGCTGTCAGTGCTCCTGGCTATGGTGTGCAGGTGTGGGCCTCTGGACCTTTCAGACATTTTAAGCACCATCTAACATCCTTTAGTAAAAATTCTTCATGCTTAAATTAGATACAGTGGATTGTATTATTTGCAACTAATTATCTTTACTTAGATATGTATATGGCTAGCCCACTGAATCCTGTGATTTCACAAAAATCATTGCTTTGCATGTGCTCATGTTTAAAACATAGTCAATTGAAAGAAAACTATTTAAGATAAGTGGCATATGAACATGCTGAAACTGTGAAGCCAGTGAGTGAATGACTCGAATCTAGAAAATGTTCCTCATTAATTAATGAAGTGTAATGTTTTCTTATTTTTCACTTTTTTATTTGTTATTTTTAGATATAGATGACAGTAGAGTGTATTTTGACATATTATACATACATGGAGTATAATTTACTCTAATTAGGATCCCATTCTTGTGGTTGTATGTGATGTGGTTTCACTGGTGGTGTATTCGTATATGAACATAGGAAAGTTAATTTCCACAACCCTCCATACAAACAAACTGAAATTTAAAGAGGTTTGGTAATATGTCCAATTTCACATACCAGGGAACAAGAACCCAGGTCCTCCTCCCTCATATATGTAGCACCCGCATTCCCTCATAGTTACAGCTCACAAATAAAATTGATAAGCCAGGCATGGAGGCACATATCTATAATCCCATTGTCTCTGGAGGCTGAGGCAAGACGATCAGGAATTCAAAGCCAGCTTCAGCAACTTAGTAAGGCCCTAAATACCTTGCTGAGATCCTGTCTCAAAATAAAAAAATAAGAGCTGGGGATATGGTTCAGTAGTTAAGTACCATGGATTCAATTCCTAATACAAAAATAAATAAATAAATAAACCTGATAAAATACGATTAGATTTTAAACTTTGGTCTCTATGAGTTTGAATTGTGCTATATGAGATTTTCACCCCATCCCTGGAAAATAATATTCCTGGTGGATATATGTGGCCAGCTTGGAAACCCATAAGAATTTAGGAGCATGGAAAATAAGGGGAACTTTAGAGTCTTCCTAGCAAGAAAAAAAAAAAAAAAACACTGTCATGACTCCCAAATGGCTTTAAAATCTTAGAAATCTATAGTTGAAGGTTTTTAGGCTTCAACAGTATTTAATTATAACTTCTAGAAAAAATGTTGTCACGGGTGTTTTTCAGAGGGCAAATCTCTAGTTTTTATTTTTATTTTTGGTGGAGGGTGAACATGGATGTAACCCCAGAAAAAGAAGCAAGAGCGAGTCCATCAGGGAAGGAAAGCAAATAAAATGAACCTGTAACTGAGCTGGCAGTACCTTCGCCGCAGACAAAGCCAGCTGCTCAATCTCCAGGTCCTCTGCAGACAGGCTGTGTGCAGTCCTACAACTCAGGAAAGTCTGGAGGTGGGAGAAGAAATGCAAGTAATTTAAGCAGTGTCTCTTCTTCTCCTATCTTTCATTGTAAGTGTCCACCCCTGGTGAATTAAGTCTCCTGCACCCTGGATGTTCCCAGGCTCTTCTGAGTAGTGGGAAGGCGGAGTCCCTGAAAGCAGGCAGATGCAGGTACAGCAGTCTCTCCTTGTCAATGGCTGCCATAAAGGACCCCAAAGTATATGTCAGCAGACAGACAGCAGCCTGGGCTTTCACCCATGGAAAGAGAGTCAATTGTCACACTGTGAATCTGAGGCCCAGGGGCTGGACAGGGCCAAGCTGACCTTGAACAGTGAATAAAAAGGACCTGGGACAACTGCAGACCATGTGCTCATAAAATTTTTATGTGACCATAATCTTTCTGTTGAATTCATGCTTCTTCTATGTCTTTTAAGTTTCTGCCCAACTGTATTCTAAAAAGGGTGAAATATTTCTATTCAGAAATTCATTGAACTGCTATCTTCCAAGGATATTGACCTATACCCTTGAGGCTAAGTATATCTGCTGTAGAAAAATGCATCTGTTCAACTATTTGATATAAAAATTAGATTTTTTTTAAATTAACCTGTAAAACTGTAAACTTAAAAACTACTTCAATAACAGGAAGTTCAACACTTTCTGACCTTGTGATAATTAACCATGACCCCTGTGACTGTGTTATAATATTTCTTTATTCAGAACGTGCCTAAGGGCCTCCCTCCTTGAATATTATCAATTTTTCAGTAAAATACAATATCTCTAGCAGGGAATGTAGCTCAGCACTTACCTAGCAAGCTCCAGGCCCTAAGTTCAATCCCCAGCACCCCTCCCCACTCCCAAATTATAAAATGCAACATATAATTTTTCCAGAGTTGTAAAAACCTACAAGCAATATATATGTTTAATAATCTGTGGTGGTAAAACTACAAATATGAAGTTTTAGAATAGCCGTTAACATCATGACAGGACTAAAGATATGGAGAGATGCTCTCAAATTACACTGGAGATTTGAAGCATGAATCAAATTCCGTCCCCACACACAAAAGATATGATTCTACACACAGAAAAGATAAAACAAATCATGAATTTAGATGATTTTGCTTAATCCCTTCTATATCTCGATTCTTTCCGAATTTTCTATAAATATTTTTATTACTTTTTAATCAGAAGTTATACTTCAGATGAATCTAAAAAATGCTCTAAATTGAGAGCTTTGATAAGAACTTGAAAGCAAACTGTTTAATAATTTAAGCAGAAATCTAATCACTTGTATCCTGGACTGTGTGAACAAAGGGATTTGATTAGCTTAGACAAATAACTCTTATGCTACAGAGGCAAAGCCAGGAGAGCTTGTGGGAAATGCAAATTCATTTCATCAGTTCCAATTCTGTACATCTGGGTAAGAGCAGAAACCTGCATCTCATCAAGCTACAAGATGATTTTAACGTTGGTGGGGCCACCCTTTGATCAACTCTGGCCAAAAGACAAGCCCAAGGCATCAAAATTTCAGAGACTCTCCATCCAGAAACAATGCTGTTCTGACCCAGGGAATTCCAGGGTTCTGGCCCCTGTTGTAGATGCTTCTGTAGACATGACACTATCTCCCCTGCGTTCATCCATGCTTTTTTAGCAGATTTCCTATGATTGGCTTTCCTTGTGGTTTTTCTAAGAAGAAAATATTACTGCTTTGTCAATAGTGGCAGTTGGGTTTGTCTGTCTTCTCTGTAACATAATAAATTGGTACTCAGTTTATAGATCGGTCTCTCTGAGTTCAGTTAATGTGAATCTACTCCCCTGAAAATTTGGTCCATTTTCAGACAGGCATGTAAGCTATAATAGCTGGAATCTCTTAGCAAGGAGTTAGTGAGCCTCTTTCTCACAATAGTATATCCATTGTTATTGCCAACCTGTCAGCACTTTCCATGTTTCTGATACAGCATCTTGAATTTCCTTTGGGAATCACTCCAAGATTCTTCCAAAATCCAAAAATAGCCCCTTACTCTAGGCCCATCTATTTGAACTCAACCTTAAGAGTTTTGATTAAAATAAAGGTAAAGCTTAGATCCATTGGTCTTTGTCATGGAGCCACAAGGGGAAAAACATGCTTGAGAATGAAGCCACTATGAACAAAAGAACTAAGAGACAGACATAAATTAGAGCTAGAGAAAGACAAAGAGATAATAATAAAAATAAAATGGGGTCATTATTTGAATCTTGGATATAGCTGGTCCACCCATTATCTGTGCTCATGAGCTGATGTGTTCCTTTTCTGGATTCTGCCAGTTGGGATTAGGTTTCCTTCCTTTACTATGGTAAAAAAATCTAAACTGAAACAACACTGCTCTGTTTCCATGTACAGAGCATCCCTTCCAGTGAACAAGTAACCTTAGTTCCAAAGACCCTGCACTTATTTGGAGGACATTTAAAACAATCACACTCATGGGAAGTGTGGATTGCCAGACATTAACGGCAAGGCAAGTCAGCTTCATGTGCAACTAGGAAGAACCTAAGGCTGTCACTAGAAAACAATGATAGCACAGGCTGGGGCTTTCTATTTCTAAGGATGGTTTCCACTTGGCATCATGACAAAGGAGTAAAAACATAGGTGCTCTGTGAATCTTGCTGTGTCACAGAGTATTTCCATGCTTATGTTTTAGGACTATCACTTACGAAATGGGAGGAAACCACCTTGTTCTCAGTGCCCCACAAAGGGACAGGAGCTGACAGCTGTACACCACCATAGTCAAGCACCTTAGTTCTGAGCTTGGAGAGGAAAGGGACCTGGTCTGCAGGAAAAACAGTGCCTGACTGCATTCACAGACTTCAGTTACACACAAAATTCCTTTTGCCTGCTCTTTCTAAGTTACATGAAACAATTAAAAGAAGAAAAAAAAAACTGATTTCTAGGGACACAAATACAAACAACTTTTCCAGAAAAATTAGGCTCTGAATAGGGACTTTTCCAATATGTCAAATAAACTTTATTATTTATTTATTTATTTGTTTATTTATTTATTTATTTTTGGTACCAGGGATTGAAACCAGGATTGCTTAACCACTGAGCCACATCCCCAGCCCTTTTTGAATTTCTGTGTGTGTGGTATATATGTGTGTGTGATGGGGGGGGGGTGCTGGGATTGAACCCAGGGCCTTGTGTATGTGAGGCAAGCCCTCTACCAACTGAGTTATAACCCCAGCCCTCCCAGCCCTTTTTGTGTTTCACTTTGCAACAGGGTCTTGCTAAGTTGCTGAGGGTGGCTTTGAACTTGCCATCCTCCTGACTCAGCCTCCCAAATTGCTGGGATTATCAAGTAGACTTTTGATTATTTTATATTATGGCTACTACTTCAAGTTTGGATTGGGTTGTAAAAAATATGATAGTCAGATAGAGCTACTGATATTTATGAACAACCCAGTTTCAGGAAATAACTAGACATGACATAATGTTTACACTCAAAGTTCTTTTTCCCATTCAAAAAAAAAACAAAAAACCTGCCTAGGAAAAGAGTTAATGCTCATCAAAGAGGATGGATGTTCAGGAGTGCTAGCTTATTGGTGTTTGGCTTCTCTCTCAAGGCTATAAAACATGCATACCTCATTTTATATATTTATTTTTAAAAAGGCTTGGCTCTACAAAGCAGTAAAATGAGAATCAAATCCTAAAATGAGCTAAAGAAGGAAACAGGTGCTATAACTACTTTTGCAAATGTCCAGGGTGAGTGTTGTTTTTGATGTGATTACTGGAAGGGAAAAGACCAGTCAACACTACTATTGCATTTATGCTGGAATTCATACTGAGCATATGGCAAAAGGTAAAATAAGAATCCATACTAATGAAATGATGGCATTTGCAGGTAAATAGATGAAGCTGGAGACTATCATGCTAAGTGAAATAAGCCAAACCCAGAAAAACAAAGGCCAAATGTTTTCTCTGATAAGCAGATGCTGATCTATAAGGGGGGGGGGGGAGGAGGGAAAGGAAGAATGAAGGAACTTTGGATTGTGCAGAGGGGAGTAAGGGGAGGGAAGAGGGTGTGGAAATGGGAAGGACGGTGGGATGAGACAGATATTATTACCCTATATACATGTATAATTATACAACCAGTGTGACTTTGCACCACGTTCAGCCAGAGGAAGGAGAAGTTGTGCTCCTTTGTGTGCAATGTGTCAAAACACATTCTACTGACATGTATAACTATTAGAACAAAGTTTTAAAAATTAAAATTAAAAAAAGAATACATACTAATATATTCTCTCCGTCTAAGATTTAAAGCCATACCTCACAGTGTTTGTTTTAGCAAAAACCTATAATCAAATTAAACAAACAAACACCCATATGCACCTTCTTAGATTCCCTCAACCTCTTCCTACTATTTGTGTGACTTGGTCAGGGTCCCGCCATGTTTGAACTGGAGTAAAACTAGTGGTCATATGGTAGGGTGCTTGGATCCGAGGCCAGAAGTTTGTGGAGTTAGCAACCCTTGGGATATAACTTCATCAAGGAGAAATAAGAGGTTTATTTCAAAGAACTCAAAAAACTTAACATCAGAAGAAAGAAGAAAAAGAAAAAAAAAGTCCCAATCAACAAATGGACTGAACGGACACTTCTCAAAATAAGAAATACAAATGGTCAACAAATATATTAAAAAAAGGTTCAACATCTCTAGCAGTTAGAGAAATGCAAATTAAAACTACACTGAGATTTCATCTCACTCCAGTGCTCGAAAGCATCATTCACATACCTAATGTCTCGTTCCTACTTCACATAGCAGCTCTCCCCAAAGCATTTGAGCTTCCTTACATCGTGGACCGAGGCCAGTCAGACCTCTGACAGAGAGACTGGCTCCCAGAAGGAAGCAAAAGTTACCAGTCCTCAGAAGTCCAAATATCACTTTTACTAAATTTTATTGTTCAAATCAAGTCACACAGATAGTATGATTCAAAAGGAAACAGACCCTACTTCCTGATAGGATGAATGCCACATCAGCACAAAGTGGGACATTAATGGTTGCCATTTGGGGAGATTCCTAAATGTGTCTACAAATTAGAATCATCTGGGGATCTTCTTGAACCTACAACCACACAGGCCACAGCTGTAACCAAGTAATTCAGAGTCTCTGGGGGTAGATCATGGGCATTTATTTTAGTTTTTAAGCTCCCCAAGTGATTCCAATGTGCAGAAAAGTTTGGGGACCCTTGATCTATCATAACTTGTAAGGATAGAGATTTAGAAAAGCTGAAGACTCTAGTAACACCTCAGTTATATACTGCTACATGTCATTTCACAACGTGCTCAGTGGCTCATCTTGAAATACGCTGTGGGTTTAAAATTTAAGCTAAACACCAGTCTCTTTAAACACAACAAAGCTGCCATGATACGCCTGCTTAGTATGCCTTGAGGGGTGGCCAACTTTCCAGTTTGTCTGGGACTGAGTGGTTTCCTGGGATACAAAACTTTCAGTGCTAAAACCAGGCCGGTCTGTGTCAAACCAAAGCAGGTGGTCACCCCAGCCTCTCTCTATCTCCATCTGCTAAACTGGTCCCATTCTGGTGAGTTTTGTTTCCGAAACACCAATATCACCACCTGAGTCGCCTCAAAAGTGACCCCGTCAGTGCTGCATGAAACATGGCCCACAGTCCTGCAGCATAAACATCATATAAGAGATGTTAGAAATGGATATTTGAACGTTCTGCCCTGGTCCCTGAGTCAGAATCTCTGGGGGCAAGACTCGGGGCCCAGAGCATGGAAGGCATGATTTGATGCATGCCAGCCATTATTTCATCTTCAGCTATCTCCACCATCCCACAGCAGGCAAAATCAGATTTCTGTTTTGCAACAGAGGTATAACAAACAGCAGGAAGGGTCAGTCAGTGCTAATTTTGGCCAGAGATGCCTTGACAAAGGGCAGCCAGCAAGTTCAGACACATCCCTGACAAACATCATCTGGGGTTTAGTTTTGTCAGTCATTTCTCTGAGAGACTGTAGGAAAATGTTTCAGATCCAGGATAGGGTCTGGAGGGTGCAGTGAGGGACACACCAAGCAGAAATGTCCGCAGTGGGTAAGGCCTGTCTCTCCCAGAACACATCAAAACCATCAAGACAAGGCAGAGAGCAAATTTTTCTCTGAGCTGGAAGAAAAAAACATATCTCCCTTAAAGTTAAGCAAAAACTCAAGCTTCAACTTTGACTGTTGAAATACGCTGTGGGTAAATGACCCAGAATAGCAAAAACAATGCTAAGCAGGAAGTGTGAATCAGGCGGTATAGCGATACCATTCTTCAATGTGAATTTATAGTAAAAATTCATTTAGGTTTCATTTAGAAATGCAATACTCTTTTTAGCTAGCTTAGGCTGAAGCAATGGAAAGTTTTGCCAAGCTGGTTCAATATATGGAAATCAATAAATGTAATTCACCACATCAATAGACTTAAAAATAAGAATCATATGATCATCTCGATAGATGCGGAAAAAGCATTTGACAAAGTACAGCATCCCTTTATGTTCAAAACTCTAGAAAAACTAGGGATAACAGGAACATACCTCAATATTGTAAAAGCAATCTATGCTAAGCCTCAGGCTAGCATCATTCTGAATGGAGAAAAATTGAAGGCATTCCCTCTAAAATCTGGAACAAGACAGGGATGCCCTCTCTCACCACTTCTGTTCAACATAGTTCTCAAAACACTGGCCAGAGCAATTAGACAGACGAAAGAAATTAAAGGCATCAAAATAGGAAAAGAAGAACTTAAATTATCACTATTTGCAGATGACATGATTCTATACCTAGCAGACCCAAAAGGGTCTACAAAGAAACTATTAGAGCTAATAAATGAATTCAGCAAAGTGGCAGGATATAAAATCAACACGCATAAATCAAAGGCATTCCTGTATATCAGCGACAAATCCTCTGAAATGGAAATGAGGACAACCACTCCATTCACAATATCCTCAAAGAAAATAAAATACTTGGGAATCAACCTAACAAAAGAGGTGAAAGACTTATACAATGAAAACTACAGAATCCTAAAGAGAGAAATAAAAGAAGATCTTAGAAGATGGAAAAATATACCCTGTTCATGGATAGGCAGAACTAACATCATCAAAATGGCGATATTACCAAAAGTTCTCTATAGGTTTAATGCAATGCCAATCAAAATCCCAACGGCATTTCTTGTAGAAATAGAGAAAGCAATCATGAAATTCATATGGAAAAATAAATGACCCAGAATAGCAAAAACAATGCTAAGCAGGAAGTGTGAATCAGGCGGTATAGCGATACCAGACTTCAAACTATACTACAGAGCAATAGTAACAAAAACACCATGGTACTGGTACCAAAACAGGCGGGTGGACCAATGGTACAGAATAGAGGACACAGAAACCAATCCACAAAACTACAACTACCTTATATTTGATAAAGGAGCTAAAAGAATGCAATGGAGGAAGGATAGCATCTTCAACAAATGGTGCTGGGAAAACTGGAAATCCATATGCAACAAAATGAAACTGAATCCCTTTCTCTCGCCATGCACAAAAGTTAATTCAAAATGGATCAAGGAGCTTGATATCAAATCAGAGACACGCCGTCTGATAGAAGAAAAAGTTGGCTACGATCTACATTCGGTGGGGTCGGGCTCCAAATTCCTCAATAGGACACCCATAGCACAAAAGGTAATAACTAGAATCAACAAATGGGACTTACTCAAACTAAAAAGTTTTTTCTCAGCAAAAGATACGATAAGAGAGGTAAATAGAGAGCCTACATCCTGGGAACAAATCTTTACTCCTCACACTTCAGATAGAGCCCTAATATCCAGAGTATACAAAGAACTCAAAAAATTAGACAATAAGAGAACAAACAACCCAATCAACAAATGGGCCAAGGACCTGAACAGACACTTCTCAGAGGAGGACATACAATCAATCAACAAGTACATGAAAAAATGCTCACCATCTCTAGCAGTCAGAGAAATGCAAATCAAAACCACCCTAAG